TCCACTACAGCTGCTGGACTGGGGACAACTAACTCAACCTCTGGTGTTCACTGTTTGTTTCTATTGAAGACCAGCAGACAGAAACATCAGTTAGTGCAGCTTTCAGTACAACAACATCAAAGTACTCCATTACAAGTAAATAAGTATCTGCTGCATCAATAAATCCACTTAAAAAACACAAATTATTTACTCAGGATTGTTTCATTGCACTACTTTTTATACAAGCAGGAGATTTGTTGTCGTTGCCTCCAACGTTAAAACGTCTGCAGCTTCCCGCCCTGTGTGGGAGCGAGCACATATATCACCCGCTAATGATGAGAAGTATCCGGTGTCGCTAACATTTATTTTCCCAGAACACACCGAATGCTCCTAAAGCTTCGTGATAAGGTAATACATCAGCAGCCGCTGAAGAACCTAATTAAGGAGGGTTGTCTATCAACTTAATGTTTGTCTCTCACTTCACTGTGAGCTGTAAATTTCTGTCCCTCTCCTGCGTTAACAGATCAGCTCAGCAGCTCCACCCTCCACAACCACAGCTCCCAGTACCTCCACCCTCCACAACCACAGCTCCCAGTACCTCCAACCAAACAAACTGATTGAGACTGTTATCTATTAACCTGTTTAGCAAATGTTTTTTGCACATGTGCAGTTTTTGCTTACCATATTCCACTTTATTGCATTTTGTGTATATATATTTCTTTAGATTTTTATATTCTCATTTTATTTTTATTGTATTTTATTCTCATTCCCCTGTGCTGCTGTAACACATGTGGAGACCTGTGTGTGCATGCGCGAAAGCTGCATGCTGCCTGTTACGTTGCTCCTGAAATAATTTCCCCCTGGGATTATTAAAGTATTTCTGATTCTGATTCTGATTCTGATCAATAAAGGAATATCTTATTTTATAAAATAATCTGCTCAAAATTCATCCAAATCTCTGGTTTTACATAAACTTCCTGCAGTTATCGGGCTCACTGTTTGGGTTCATTGTTCAGTTTATCAGCTGTTCTCTGCTGTTATTATTATTGTTGTACATATATATATATATATATATATATATATATAATATAAAATATCCATAAAAGTTTACTCAGTAATAGAAAAGAGCTCCCTTAAAGAAAAAGGTTTGGAACCGCTGCTCTAGAGAGTCAGTGTGTGAGTCAGCCCATATTATTATAAAAAACTCAGCAAAAACTAAACAGAAACTGATGAAAAATAAAGTTGACTGTGGTACAGAGCTGTGCGCAGGCTGTCTGTGGCTCTCAGCTCCAAACCCACTGCTTCCCACAGTCTGCCCATACACTAATGACACCTGATAGGCATTATTAATCAGTTCTCCTAAAGATCTCCACACTGAACTGGTAAGATACACATTTATGTACACGGGTAAAGAGACACTTACAGATCTGCTGCTGCATCCGATCCCTCCGCTCCTAAATTCAGGAGTCCCAACCTTCGCGCAGGTTTCTGCGGGATAATGAAGAGAGGGAGGAGGGAGGAGGGAGGGTAGGGCTCCTCCTCAAACACTCTGCAAGAGAGGTTTGAACTCCAGACCTTTAGTTTGATATGTAAATCAGAGTTGAAAAATTTCCTGCAGCTATTTTTATATATAATATAAAAAGCAAATAGAATGTTTATATATATTTCTGAGCTACACAGAGGAGCGTTTATTTTAATTTATGATCTGATGATGATGAATGATCTATTGTTAGAAATGTAATAAAATATTCATAGGTTAACACCTGAATAAAAGAATGTTTTCATTACTTTAGAATGTTTCTACGGTAGCCCAGAACAGACAAACCAAACACTGGCTGTAGACAGCGACTTTTACGATCGCTGAGAGGCATCAGTGAACAGCAAAAACCACAAAACACTGGCAGTGAGTGACAGCGGATGCTTACAACGAAACATTTACTGACTTATTACTGTTGCTGTCCGATTGTGACAAATTATGTTATTCAATGTCATTTATATTTTTTCATATTAACTTTCTAATGCGAGACTATTATTATAATAATAATAATAATAATAATAATAATAATAATAACTTTATTTGTATAGCACTTTTAAAAACATGGTTTACAAAGTGCTTTGACAGAACACAGCAAGAATACAATTTACAATTACAAAGGACGATAAAATAAATTGCA